ACTCAACTTTGGCAAATAGGCTTTAACAAGGCTTTAATAAGCTACACAATAGAGGTACATGAGAAAACGTGTTCATAAAGAATGAAAATAAATAAATAATTAAATTATGTCCGTACCGGTTTCGAATTCTGGTCTCCCACTCTCTGGTCCAACACTCTACCCATTGCCCTATTGGAAACTCGTGAAATGAGCTGCGCCTTGCACAACAACACCATGACAGCTTTTTATACAGAGGAGGAGGAGTCTTACCCGGGTGTTGCTAGGTAAGGGGCTGAACGCAGGTTCCAGTGGGTTGTCGTATGGCTTGTGACATCACAAAATGATGGAAGTATAAAACTTGTCGTTAATATACACTAAAAATACATTTACTTACTGTAAATATGCCCCTGGGTGCATATTTTTGGTCCTAGGACTGTTTTTTTAAGAAGTACATACCCAAAGTTGAGTAAAAAAACCTTTAAAATGTGAATTTTGCATAATAGGTCCCCTTTAAATGAGCCCAAGAGCTACCGGTAGCTCACGAGCTACTGGTTGGAGACCCCTGGTTTAGAAGACATAGACAAACCACCTAACCCTAATCCTTTTTTAATAAGAATGACTTAACAATGACACCAAACATTTTATGAATGGGGTTTCCTGTGCTACAGCAGCTGGCAAAGAAAGTAATTTTCGAGGGAATTTATCAGGGTTATAAGACAGGATTATTTCTAAAGACATACCTGTTAGAAATATGGATTTAATGATAGCTTAGGAAGATTGGGATTCCTAGATAGTGTTTTCATGGGTTCATTTTTAATCAAATCTCAATATTTTGACTTATTTTGCACTTGGCAAGCAATCACTCCAACTCATTTTGCCAGCACGGCTCACAAATTATTTAGTTTTTTCAAAAGGAGTCAGATTTTTCCTTTCAAATCAAAACATAAACTCAGAGTAAACATCTAATTTATGGAACAAGTTTGTTTCCCTGGTGACCGTTGGCAAAATACACTCGAGATGGAGTCCTAGGAGGACAATTGTGCAGGCAACATAGAGAGTAGAGTACAAGTAGAGACAAGTTCGAGTTTAAAGGTTGGGTTTTTTATTCCTTATATTGATTCAGACAGGAGCCACCCCCGCAACAAACTGTCAAGATCCGTTCTATCAAGGCATACTTGTATTCGCTTTGTTTGCAGATAGACATCTGTTAATTGACAGTCACAGTTCAGTTCACACAAATGCAAACCTTTGGTGTTGGAATACAAGACTATACATACATACATACATACAGTACATACATCTAATTGTAATTAATCACATTTTAAAAATGGTAGTTTTCTTCATAATATTATTAGATCTCAGATTAATGTTTGGG